AAAGGTGCTGTGTAGAGATAGAGCTGGAAAGGTGATTGTGGGGCGATAGCCTCCAGGTGGAGATGAAGGCGGCAAAGGGGAATCGGCGCGGTTCAGACTCGGAGACGCGTTCGACACATTCGGGACATGGGCGGGCACAGGTTCAAATAGATCACTTTCAACACGGCCGTCGAGCTCGCGTACTCGTCTTGTGTGACGTGCGCTTGCTTCGTGGTGAAGAGCTTTCCGAAGTGGCATGCCTAGTTCTCCGCAGACAGTGCAGTCGAAGCCATACCGACGACTGCTTCTGAAGACTGGGGTCTCGTTAGTGAGGTCCGGATGACCGTGTGCAGGCTAGAATCTCGCAGTACTTACATTGTGGCTCAATAGAATCGTCTTCTGTGAGCGCCACACTGGTCTCATCGGGCTCATGCTCAGGCTGTCGACGCTTCATGTCATCTGACGACGGCAGTCAGTGCTGCGAGCACAGAGACTCGTTTGCACAAATCTTAGGCGCAAAATTCTTAGCACACGGACTCCTGATTCATTAGTGCAGAGAATATTGGCAGATTCTCGAATGCGGGGTATCTTGAGACTTGTGTGACATGGTCAGACAAAAACCAATGCTCAATGATCAGATTCCCGAATGACCGAAATCGCGCCCGCGTGATTTTCAATATCTCTCAGATCCTGTCACCTCAGTCTCATCCGTGCAGCTGTGTAGCCAGACATGAGGGATCGAGAGTCAAATTTGGGTCTTAGGCATGTCTCATGTGATGGAATACACTGGGTGGTAAGCACACTTTTTTCCAGCGTAAAATCGGCCAAAAATTGATTCAACAAGGCCCCAACTTTCTCCGGTTTTCACCTGAAAAAAAACTGAAGGCAAAACTCAGTTTTGCGCCAGTTTTACTGTGTTTCAGACCCTTTTGGCTGGTTTTGCACCAGTTTCTCCTCAGTTTGCATCGGCGTGAAATCGAGGAATAACTGGGCCTTGTTTAGCCACCTTTGCCTGAGTTTTCTCGAGAAAAAAACTGCCCTTACCACCCTGTGATACCAGATATAGCACACGGATCACATCACCGAGTGGCCGAAAGAGCAGCTCACTCCCTGTTGCAGTAGTGTGAGATATTTTTGTTTGAGATGATTTGTCACATTCTACTGAATGCAGAGCAGTCTGAGGGTCATGAAGAGCGAATTTGCACATACAAAAGTCTATAGTTGACGATCATCAGTGAACCAACGGTCATAGAAACACACTTACATGGTCCACAATAAATATATGGGTACATGATTCAATCTGTGACACCGCCGTACCCGATGAGTTGCCTGAAATGAGTGAAGTGAGGCGGAAGCTGCCCATATGCTAAGGAACAGACTCGATTAATTCATGATAGCCGCCCTGTCATACTTCGGTACGCGTCCCACCAACTACCGAGTAGACTGGTTACGGGTATAGCTCGCGTTGTATCCCTTTTCTAAACAGGACGCAGTTAAGGCTCAGCGACCAGGCATAGCTGGCGAGTCTACATCATCCCCACCGCGCCAATGTCATTATGTCTTCGGGCAAGCTACGGTACCCCGTCCGCTCACCGAGCCTGGATTTTCCGAACGCCTGCATCGACGCTCCCCGCGAAGCGCACGAAGCTTCGCCAGTCGTGCGGCGGCACATCAATGCCGAGTGCACCTCACGCATCCTGTGTATTCGTGTGTCCGTGCTCTCTACCGTCGGCGCTGCATCAGCTGACTAACTCTGCAGTGCGGGAAGACGGATGGAGACGCGAAAAATCAAGCATTAGCGCGGCTCGCTCAAGAGCATCTCCTGTGGAGACGTCGTTGGCGAACTCGATGGCCTGTTTCGCAATTCTCAGAACGCCTTCCGCCGCAACAAAGGCGACATGTGCTTCTAGTGAGGCGTGGCTGACGTTCGGCCCCCGCCGAATACAAAGCTCCATTGTTGCGGTTGCTGCCAACAGGTGAGCTACAAGATCTTGCACTGTTCTCCGTGCGTCTTTCGCGAGCTTTCGCGCTTTTCCTGATGGAGAAATGCTTAAGCGCAGCATGTTCTAGCGAGTGCCAGACAGTTGATTGACACGGCGGCGTACGTACGTACGCCCCATTAGATGATCTGCCAGTGTGGTGTGTGGGTAGGCAACGATGTTGCCCGCGTCAAGGCAAACGCAGAGCAAGAGAGGAATTATTTTGGGCATGCGAAATTCACGTGTGGATACATGCATTGTAGTTGAGTTAATCGCATCGTACCTGTGAAACTCCCGTCGTCAGCACAAATACTCAACAAGAGATCTTGATATACACACCAGTATTCGTAGTTGATGGAGCGATCATGACGTCAGGGAGTCCAACTCAAAAATTTCCGGTAGCTTATCCCATAACGTCTTCGCTTCTTTCCGCATCAGATGAGCAAACCAGGATCTGCAGGTGTGACAAGTAGGGGAGAGATATTCGCTGCTGTGGTTGTCCGCTTCCAATTGCTGAGCCATACGGTCTAGGCTTATCATAGGATCACTCGATAAAATATGCATTGCGTCTGAACCTGCGAGCTTCGTGCGCAACCAGCTCGATATGTATGCCAGACACGTGCGGTCCGTTTTTGAGCACCTGCCCTTGAGCTGCAGAGCATCACCCGTGATGAGCTCTCCCCATACATTCTGACCGAGCTGATATGCCGCGTATTTCGCGATGCGTTCGCGGCCAACAGCGAGGCGTTCAAGATCGTCGCGTGACAAAAGTCTGGTGTTGGCGCATCGTGGAAAGAACCCGTCAGGTTTTCTAATAGCTGGCGTGCGGAGATAAATTCGACTGAGGTCGTAGAAGGCAGCGGGAAGAATAGAGAGAAGACGAGTCTGCTGCGCCAGCTGGACAGCTGCCGCTAAAACCGCGTCAAGATTTGCGCGAGAACTCAAAGCAAAAGATATCACACCTGGGTCTTGGTATTCGTCCACAGTCATACCAGTGAGTATTTCATCAGGATGCCTATCATAGTAATCCTGCTCGAACTCCTTTTCGGCATGCATCCAGTCTTCGTACTTGCTTGGCCAGTCTCGCTCAAGAATAGGAGCCAGCTGGTTCAAAATACCGTCCATCTCGTACTTCGCTGCCAATCGCATGGGGCCGGCCACAATTTTGAGTGTATCTGGATGTCGTCTCCCCGGCAGGACGATCCTTCCTTCTGATCAGTGACACGAGACGTGATACAGCGAAGTCTAACTTACGGAAAACCGTATAGAAGCCTAAGGAGGTCCCTGATATCCTCCCACTGGTCTAGTAAGTCCACGCAGGGCGTTCCTCCCAGCTGCCTGCCCGAGGCATTCGGGAGCTGGAGCATGGTTTTGAATACAGGCGACCGGGAAGCCAAGACGGATGCGTGGCATCGAAAGCCGTACATAGGGCCATCTCCTGTGTGGTAGGGACCTGCGCATATAATAATATTTCCATCTTTAAACCAGATGTGCTCGTCGCGGATGAGCTCAGGGCCCAAGCTTGCCTCGACATTGATGTCCGAGTCCGCCGCGCTGAGATCCGATTTTCTCTCGCCCTGCGACCAACAACTTGAACTGACGGAAGAAGACATGGCTTGAAAGCGTTGTGAAAGGCTCGCTGTTGCTTATGTGCTAGAAAGACGACCACGCTTACTTGCCGACTGGCTTGGTGGTCGCTGTCTTGACGTAGGGAAGCAGACGCTCATACCGACGTCCGCAGAAAGTCGTTGCTTGAGCACCACAAAGCCTTGGCGGTCTCAGTGCGCCGTAGTGTGAGAACACCGGAAGTCAGCGCCAAAGAGTTGGGGCTGAGCGCTAAGCTCCTGTCTAGTCTCACTCGAAGTCTCACAAGATTTAGGGTACATTAAGCGTTCAACGTTCAACGTTCATCAGCGATGCGCCACACACCATTGGCGTGACTACTTCCTTATATAGCCCAGGTATGAGGTCCCTGAAGGCCTGATCAGCCGTTAACACCTAGTATCTACACGCCACTTATTTACTTATTGTCCATTGTCCACTTTTCACGCAAACTGAAAGTGGCCAGTCCAATTCTAGGGTGGGAATACAACACGACCTCTGCATATAAATTTTCGGGCGCGTTCGCACTTCAAATAATCCCCGGTCTCTCTCTCAATTTGAACCTCTTCTCGTCCAACAACATCTTCTCAACATGTATACATCTGCTGCTTGCCGTACCCTTGCAATACAAGAACTCCTGGAGCACATCATTCGCATTGTTCGCGCTGTCTGGCCCGCCAACGAATTTGTCCATCTGTCCCTCGTCAGCTGCGGTTTCCATGAAGCGGTCTCCTCCATCTTCTGGAAGGAGCCTGCCGGGGACGTCTTTCGACCTATGCTCTCTTTGACGGGTGACTACGACGTGAAAGTAAGCATTTCAGCGGTATAGTTTTCAGCGATTATCGATGCTGAGCCACCCGATAAGCCTGACAATCCTGGCCGACTGACAGTGGGCATACAGTCTCCCAGTCCGGACAGCTGGCATCGTTTCATCTCAATCTCCGGACATATACGCATCCTGAAGCTTAATTTCTCCACTGTACGATCCCTCGCCGTGTTGCACGCACTCCTTCAGACCGCGCCCGCTCGCTTTCGCCTGCCTCAACTGCGTGCCCTGGAAATTTCCATGGACCATCTCGAAGAGCACGGACAGCTTGCCCAGCGATTCATGCAAGAAACAGTCATTGAATTTTCTTTGCTCGTGTTCCCTCCATGGCGTCCCATGTATCTTCGTAGCGAAACGCTCAGATCTTTTAAAAATCCTCTCGAGGATCAACTCGAGCAAGCCGCTAGCCAGAATTGGTCGGGGATACAAGGTCCGAGATCTCTCTCAATGTCGCTTGTTCCAAATTTGTGCACGGCTATTGGGAAGCGCATGCCACATCTCTCCCGCCTTCAGTTCGTCATCGCTCAAGCTCAGCCCGCGTTTTATGCCTTTTCCAATCTCGTCGACATGGTCCTCGGCCTGCGGCAGCTCGAAACGTTGTTCGTTGCGCGCCATACCGCTGTTGCTCCTCTGTTGTGCATGATATCGGAGCACCCTTGCCTGCGTATCTTATCTATCTTCCAGGCCGACTTCTTGACCGGCGCGCTTCGCTACCAAGAAATCCCTGAAGACGCGACAGTCTACATTGAATTCTGGACCCTGTGGGATATGATAGATGAAAGCACGGACATTTACAATACTGTGGAACGCGGATTTGTCTCTGAGAACCTAACTGAGCTGCGTCTCGAGATTGATCCCGCACAATTCAGGGACGTCCTCAGCGACTGGCTTGACCGTGATGACGTTGTCCCCTTCGAGGCAGTCGAGAACCTCCACCTGATGTGCAGCACACCACATTCAGGTCTGCAAGGGGGCGAAGATGAGATAGAGGACATCCTTGCCGCTATCCCAGATTTATTCCCCGTCATCAAACGCCTTCGTGTCGGGCCGATACGATGGAACCTTTTCACAGCTGAACCCACCGTCGATGCCGCAGACACACGATACGCGGTAACCGCGAACACACTCCGCGCTCTAAAGGACTGCCACACCCTAGAGCACCTGCAGCTCGATGCTTGCTACCAGTCACGCGTCTCCTCCGCCGAGTGGGACGAGCTGTTGCCCAACTGGCCTAACCTCCAGGTCATGATCCTTGGCAGTACCTCGGCTCTCAGAATCGACATCCCTGACGCACCCATCGACCGTGTTCTGTCCACGTTCAGCCGACACTGCCGCCGCATGCGAATGTTGAGCGTCCACATGTCTTCTCTCATCTCAAGTTCTCCGTCCACCTGGTCCTGCCCTCCGATGCTGAGCAACTTCTATCCCGTGATTTCCATCCCAGCAAATACGACCCAGGCAGCCGCTTACGCACTTGAAACTCTCAAAAATTTCTTGAACACCATCCGCCGGCAGGATTGTGCAGTGAGGCTGACGCTGGCTCACAGCGTGGATGCCGTACCCCACTCGGCTGATCCAAAATATATTTTACTCTCTACGTGGAGGGAGGAAGCGGAGATGGATCGTCGGAATCAGATAGAGAGCTTGAGAGCTCAGGGTTTGTTGGGAGAGCTGGGAGCAACGGCAACAGCCGACAATGGCATGGACTACTAGCCCCGCCAGCAGATCCATGTGAGAGTCTTCAAAGTTTGAATGTAGTCCTGTTGCGCGCCACATGCCGTAGTCTAATTCAAATGTGAAAAACCTCTTGCTCACCATTTACATCTGTCGTTCGAAACGAGCTTGTGATCTACTCGGTGACGTGAAATGAAAATCAACGGAAGCATTGCGCAGCGGCCCAGCGCGAAAGCGCGACAGCAAGCAAGGAGCTGATTACAGGCACTTGCCTAGCCGCGGCAAAAATCGAAGCTTCGAGCTCGAGCTACATGCGAAACGCGGCAGGAACGGGTTAGTCGGCACCCACAGTCAGACTCAAGAAACGGATAGCATTCTAGTGGTATCAAAAATACTGTACAAAACATGTTAAACGCATCAGATATCAAGATCTTCCATCGCCTGCTCGAGCTCTTCCTTCGTGAAAGGAGCCTCTGAGTGGTCCACGGAAGGACCCGCTGCATCCGGATCCTCTTCGACGCGGTGACCGAACTCTAGCTCCAGCTGCTTGCATAGCATCGAGCGGGGTAAGCGGGTTTTGTCCATAGATGGAATGAGCATCTTGTATATTGCGTTGACTGCTTGACGGTCGCCAGACTTGAGCGCTATAAAGAAAATTTATGTGAGCGCGCAGTGGATACAAGAGGGGAAAGGAACAAACCCCGGTTGCGCACGACCTTGAACATGAGGCTCCCTGAACAGGCACAAGATCAGTGCAAGAGAGGGGACGTCGCACGCCTTTTACTGACCCATTGCGTCAGCGAGACATATACCTTGGTCCGGTTCAGGATATGGCCGCACAATCTATTTGGGCTTGTCACGAGACACGGATTATACGAGGTCTCAGGACGGCACGCACCACATAATCAATCCTGGGGTTGTCGCTAAGCAGTGAGATCTGATGAAGCAGGGCAGGAGAGCGAGTGAAACCAGGGTCAGGATCGGGGATCCCCGACGCGGTCTTCGCAGCCCCCGCCGGCGTCGCCTTTGGCATGTTGTCCTCAGTCAGCGGTTTCCCGCAGATCAGCTTGTGAGGCCTCGGAGAGCCGAGCTTCCAGTCCTTCGTTTGGCATTCTCTAGGTCTAGCTGTTAGCATAAGTATAAGTGACTATCATTGGGACGCGCACTTTGAGCAGTAGAACATTCGTCGGTTAAGCTGGCGACACTTGCTGCAGGCTTGGAGTTTCCGCCCAGCCGGCAACCTGTCCTCAGACAGGCCACAGAATGAGCACGCGTTGGGGATGAGCTTGCGCTGCTCGTTGTGCTCTCGTACGATCTCGCGAGTAGCGGATTTGGAGAGACCTTCGGTGTGGATGAATCTTCCCCGATCAGGCCTTATAGGCTGCTGAGTCTCTTCTATGCCGTACTGGGAGTGATTATAAGCATAGAAAAAAAGGAGACTTTACTGATGTACTCACAAATGTTAGCAGAATATTCCAGATAACCGTAGACAGGGCATATGTCCTGCTATTCTTCATCGAGCGGAAGAACGTCTTGCACCCAGGATATTGCAGCTCTTCCTCTGTAGGCGTAAAGATGCGATCCACGAACGTGTGTGGAATCTCCAGAGGCACCGTAGGCAGCGCGTCGAGGTTCGAAGGAAGCAAGCACTTCAACATGCGCAGATACTCTTCGCCACCGCGGGATGTCAAGTTCTCTAAAGAAGAGTCAGGGCAATACTTCCTTCTCTCTTCCATGTCAGGAATGCACATCGTCCTATAGATTCCCTCCAAGACGATTTCCTGCCGTCTGTCGTCCGACAAAGCTTTCCACGCGTTCTCGAAGTCATTTTCCGCGAAACGCTTCGTCGCCTCTCTAGCAATGTCATGCTGCAGTTTGCAAATACACGACGCCTCGTACTCTGCAGCAAAAATGACGTGATCCGCATTTGCTGTTGCAAAGACACTCTTTGGCATGCGGTGTATGTTTTTGAGGCGAGTTGCGTTTCCGCTGGGGTAGTTCCTGTCGAAGTCTCGCTGCCAGGACCGCTCCCAGTCCAAGCGGGATGTGTGCAGATCAGGACGTTTCTTTGCCCACTGCGCCATGTTCGGTTATCGGCAAGGATAGGAGAAGGTATGCGCTGAGCACCACAAAAGCAGAGGGCCTCTCGAACCAAAACGCGTGACCTTTGTCCATCAGTCACCACGGAGCGCTGGGAGTCCAGCAGCGCAGCCAAAACGATCTGCTGGCATGAATTCGATATTTGTTGCACTATGCGGCTGCCCATTGGAATATTGTGCAATACGCGCAGCACCTTACTATAGATTCTGCGTTTTGGAACTACGAATCCTCCGGCGGCGGCAGAAACTCTCGATATGTGGACTACTAGCTGCGAAATCGCAAGTCTATTGCAGCATAGGACTGACTTCTGTGCTCTCAAGCGACTCGACACTAAAACTCGAGAGCCGCGGCGACATCTTTACACCCCGAGACTTTTCGACCCACAGTTGGTTCCATGCTCCGCAGCGTCGGACACTACCGTAATACGGGGCATGTCGGTAGTAAGACTTCTTAAGCCGCAGTCGAAAAGTTCATTAAGCTTCAGTCTGCCGGCGGTGAGCCTGCTCTGCTGGACTGCCCGTTCCCTCTTATTAGTGCGATTGACGGCGTATGGCGTTGCTGCCCTTCGCACAAGGTTACTGCCCCGTCGGGACGTTCTCCAATACAGGCTATAGCTGCGACCTCTGATAACGCACCACAATTCACGCACTGCCCTCTCCCGACCCGACCAGCGGCCACACGTCGCATCGGCTTTCCGCTGACCCCTCCAATGGTTCCTTCTTCTCGATTTATGGGGATTTTGGAGTTGTCAGAAAATCAATTTGGACGCTTCCCGTTGGTCAGGAAAAAGTACAGTAAACGGAAGTACTTGTAGTTCGCTCTTTCGCGACGAATTCTTGCCTAAATTCGCATCGCCGTCTATGTCCTCCAGATTACACTGCTGGACTGCCTTGAGGGAATTGCTGGAGGTTCAGATGCGCCTTTGCAGGTCTGACGAGATTACGTTTGTAACCCGGGGGAGCGGTGTTTACCCCAGCTGTGTACAAATAAGCGTTTATGAGATTGCTGATGCGTATTAGAAAACTTTTGAATGTTATTAAAAGCCAGTAAGTAACTAATACAAGCGAGCATCAGCGGGTTACAAAATTAATATTATTACCGCTGACCATCATCACTCTCTTCTCGCTTGACGGTCTCCTACTGCTCTGCCACCGGGTACGCAAGTCCTGGTCGCGAACTTGTATCTACGCCCTACCTCTATTTTCGATATCATGTCTTCGTCCGGGCAAACATACTGTGCGCAAGGCCTGAGAAGCTCATTGAGGCTTGTACCCCGAGGTCTACTCCAAGTCTGAACTGCCGTCATACCAGTACCTCAGAGTGGTCTCGTCTGCTTTAGATGCATTCCCTTGCAGTGCTGATTGGCGACTGGGGAGAGCCACCGAACGAGGCGGATCTTGGGAAGTGGACATCAACATGGTGCGTTGCCCTCGGAAGCCGTAACGATGGATACTCTCCGAGACGGCCGACACAGCTTGTCAAACAAGAGGCATGGATAGGTTGGTCCCGAAATGTTCTACTGTGCGTTGGCGCATCGGGTTTGGGTAGCTTTTCTCCGAGATGACACCCAAGCACCTGGTGAAGGACTGCGGCGTTGAGCTTCTCTCAGCTCTTGTATCACCGCACATTGAGCTAGCCGGATACAGGACCGCGTCATCAACCTGTCGAGTGCGGAGGCACAAATGCCAGCGCGATGGCGACGGCACAGATGTTGCCCCTCTAGAGGGAGGAGTTCGTGTCAATAGCACTATGGAACATCTATTGCGCATGCGTGAGTAATTTTACGAACCTTCATGAGACTGACTGAAGCAACATGAATTCGAAGGGCCTTGTCCGATATGCTTAACTCCATGGCCATGTTGCCCGAAAACAAGAGGCAGCTCAAGGTACTTATGAAGATGTGCACTAAACATTTGTGCACGACATCAAGATATACTACTACTCTTGGTGCGTCTACCGTTTCTACTGCGGTTTGTACTTGCGAACGCTACACAGGGAGTGCCAAGTTGCGGACCAGAAGAATAGCCTGGCACAAGACGCTTCGCGACAAGCGTGATTTTGATATGGAACGGAAAAACTGTCACTCGCAATCTACGTCCACATGTGACAGCATGGTCTGCTCGAATGCTGTATCTTACTCGATTTCTCCCGACGGGCTTATGCCACTGTTCCGTGTGTTCTCTATCCGGGCTTCCAGCTCCGAACCCTGCGCTGAATACATAGTCTTGTACCTGGTGCATGCTTTCGCGTTCCGGGGTTCCTTTTCATGCTGGACTGCTCTTCAAGGCGTCGCTTCTGAGCTTGGGAGAATCAGCGCCTGTACGTCAAGGCATGACTACACGGTTTGACGCGTGACAACGAAGCACCGCGAGTTATCATGGCGTTTGCGCTCTTTGCCTTTCTCGCCATCTTGGCGTCCCCACGGGGTAATGTGCTGTAGAATCGAATGGACTGACGTTGAGTCGAAGCCCCGTTATCACCGGAGCCGCAAGCATATGTCATTCAATGCTGTCCTTGTCAGGATCTGACAACGATGCGCGGGACACTGCCATCTGGCGCACAGGCGGTCCGGCTCGTCATAGACTTGCAAATTGGTACGCTGCATTATTGCACCGCCTGTTGAAGACCTCTGACTTTCATAAAGCAGCCTCGCCTGGACCATCTTGGACTGAGCTTTGCTGCTACGCTATGTGGGGCCTGAGCCGCTTCTTCCCCCAACCCGAAGTCTCTCACTCGCCCGGAAGCGAGACTCGGCGCTCTACCCCCACGAGGCCCTGGCGACCGCATCGACGAGCAATGCGTACGCATCATATCACATCAGCCGATAACATCTCGTCATCACAGATCATCAGCGAATCTACCACTGCCCCAACCATACATCACTCCTCGTTTACTCGCTTTGCAGCGTTGACAAGATTTCGCGATCGTATCTCGTGGTCGCGACGCTACCGTCATCAGACTCTACCTCCCACATATATACCAGCGCCGACGGATCTGGAACCTGCGCCGTCTGCTCGTACTCGAGGCCCATTAAATGATGCTCACGTGCATTCTTCAACAGCCGCAACAAGCGTCCGAGCGGCATGCCCGGAGTACTTGCCTCTGCTGGACATCCAAACTACTCTGTCTGTCTCTACTGCGAATGCTTCGACGAGGCCAATCTTCCCCTCTCCTTCTTCTTCCCCCTCGGCATCTCCTTCTCCTTCTCCTTCGGCACCTCCTGCTCCCAGCGAACTCGTCTCGGTTGTTCCTGTGCTGGACGATACAGCCAGCTCGCCGCAGGTGGAGTCAAATGCTATTCCTTGGGATGTGGGGCGGTCTCAGCCGTCCTTCGATGCATTCCCACCAGCACCTCGACTTTTGCCAATTGCGCTTCCGCCTGTCAATGGCTCACTGTCCTTATCCGACATTCCCTCTCCATCTCCCGGGGGCCTAGTCAGGTCACAGTCGCACGACTCTCATTCCATGCATCCTGTGGCACGTGCTGATTCGAGTCCCTCCACCTCTCGCTACGATGCCTTATCAACCTCCATACGTACTGGTACCGATCATGTTCCGGATGCGAGAACGGCATCAGCCATATACGGCACCCGCAGCCTCTCCCATATGACCATGACTCCTCCATCCCTCGCCGCTGAACCTGTGGCTCGATTCACAACGCAACCTCTCGGCTCATCGAACAGCCTTGAGGCATCTTCTGTCGATGATTTGCCCGCCGCTTTGGGCTTGACTCCGAATGAGGATAGAACCGACGTGGTCGGCGACGAAGTCCCGTCGGTGCGCAGGGGTGGGCGCACCTACGCACTTGCCAGCACTATCCGCACAAGCCGATTTGGCATAATTTGTGCTAGCTTCACGGCCGACAAGCGAGCGGTGACGATCAAGACGATGCAGAAGGCGACTGTTTATTCGCAAGAAAGCGGACGAGACGAAGTACTGCGTGCGAAGACTGTCATGGAACTAGTCGCGCATCGATATGCGGACTACTCACATGGGCCGATGATGGGGTTCCTGATGCCGATGTTACACTCGTGGGCAGACGATTTTCAAATTTACTTCGTTACGGTGGGTAATGGTACTTTTCGGTAGCAAGCATGTATTGCTGATACGGTTATCCTCTAGCCTCGATGTCTATGCAACTTACAGACGTACATAGAGACGACTCCGAAGAAGCACTTCCCCTTCTACACTTACCTCGTGGAAGTGGTACGTTCAGTCATCTCTTCTCTACGATCGATTCAATACTGACGAGGCAAACTGATAGACGTCGGCGTTGTACGACTTGCAACAGCTTCGCATCGTCCATCGTAACATCGTCCTCAACAGCTTCCTCATCGACCATACCGGCCACCTCATGTTGTCGAACTTTGAGTACGCAGTTCACGACGGCGACCTCTCGCATCCCGTAAGCGCGCCTTACCCACCCGAATGGCTGCAGGTTGCGGATCGAGAGTACAGGAGCCATCATAAGATGGACGTATGGATGGCCGGGCGACTACTCACTCAGATGTACTTCGTCGACGATCTGCCAAGCGGGTACTTCCAGGAGAACTTGAGTCACATCGCCTCCAAAAATCTCCCGCTGCTTGAATTCCTGGAGCAGGTGTGCATTTACTGTCCATAAATCCCAGCGAGAGTGCTGACGCAGTGAATCCTAGATGCTCAATCCGAACCAACACCATCGCTGGACCGCCTGTGACCTTATGCGTCACAGCTTCTGCATTGGCAGATCTGAAATCGAGTGGACGGCGGCTCGTTCACGGAACCTGCCGGGTAAGTGCATCGCACGATGACCCCTTTGTTCCTCCCGGACTGACGGTTTCATCAGTCAGCATGCCACCGTCTACGAACGGCCAGCTCCGGGAGCGCATTTCCCAGGAGCGAACACCCGTAGACTTGACTCTGGCGAACCACTCGGACGACGTGCATTACGAAGTTCTGGAGCAGATGATGATGGATGCGGAGGCACGGCCGTTTGACTCAGAGGCGCTGCGACTTGTCTGGGACTGGTTCGCGCCGAAGCCAGACGATGGTCTCTAGACTACGCTTATTTTCTGAGCTATGGGTTTTATCATTTAATATTTAACTATTGCACATACACGGGGCTCTTGCTGACATTCATTGCACACACACGAAACTCTTATTAACACCACATTTTAATCTTATAACTAGCATATTCGACCCTAATAGTATATCAACTCTCGGTTAAACCCAGTGATGCAAAACATGTTGTAGACGATGTTACCAATGATCAGCCTGAAAGCGATAATCCGGAGGTTGTAATATATAAGTGGGACTGAAGAGCGGAAGTATACTAAGTGTACACATGCCTTGGCTTCTCGGAGACTGTGACGAGGCCTGAAGCCTGATGCTTCGTGTTGCCCCCAAGGCAACCGTTACAGATTGGCGTTCTTTTTTTTCAACAATGAAGTCAAAGGTTCTGAAAGGAGAGGAAGTGTAAACGGCTTCAGCTCAGTCATATGAGCTGATGTAGCAGCGAAGATTAGCGATTATTCTTTCCACTACATCACCGTCCCCGCCCTATAGATATGTTTCTATTGTCAACATTGAGGTTTGTTCTACTGCTCCTCAGATTTGCTTCCCAGATTTTTGAAGACCAATTTCGCTTCTAGGGCTCTCTAGGCACATTTAAAACGGCAGGGTCACGGCTTGAGCGGTTCTGGAGATGTCCAAGGAAATGGACATCGCCGCTTGCAACGAGAGGCTGGGGGCGCAGAGAACATATTATATGCATTTATTATAGGCTATACCTTGCTTTTCTTATGTTTTCTCAATTCTATCATTTTTTTGTTGTGTGCTGTAGGTACGTCCCTGCTGATCTGCTGTTTCATATAGGATTTTGTGCCGTAAACACAGAATTGGAAGACTTTACAACATAAAGCTACGTTCAATACCAACTGCTACCTCTATTTAATGCAGCACACATTTTTTATCCTTAATCTGTGCCGTGCAGCGATTGTGGAAGGCCGAACGCGCTCTTTCGGCGGCTCGGCCACATTTAAGCGCCTGCTTGGGCACTGCGCATGCTTGATCTATGCCAAGCGCTGTTTCTGCGGTCTTGCAAAAGTATTCATAGTCTTTCCAATACTGATAGTAAAAATCCGCTGCTCCGGTAAATACTAGTTTATTCCTATTCCAATAGATCCGAGATATATAAAAATGGAATATCTTCGTGCTTTCATGCGTATGAAGCAAAATGTCGTAGACTAGCCGATTTCCGAGCACGTGACAGTATCGCCGGCAAACTTCGTGAAGTGATTGGCGATGGCGAATCGAACTAGGCGTCAGAAAGGAGCCGAACTATCCGTGGGAGTATATGAGGCAAAGTACCAGCTGAGCTTGCACATGCTGTAGTCGGAAATTACGGCTGATTTGACTCTGATCAGCACAAGCAGTATGACTAGCACTCAATTATTGAGCTCAAGCTCAAGCTCAAGTCATGGGAGGATATCTCCCAGGGTCGGTGGCGAAGATTCACGCTCGATCATGTACGTCTGAGCTAGAGCATCCTAAAAGCAGAGGCTTCGTACGATGTCTACGTTATAAGACCAGAACGTCGATCTGCGTAGTTGGAGCATGCAGATCACTGCACGTCCGTCCTCCGCGGTATCACGGTGAACCCGGGAAGCGGTGCTAAGGCTGACGCGCGTGTCTCGCCGACGGCTGCCGCGGTCATGGTACGCGAAATGCTTGAAACAACGAGAACGCAATCAGAAGACAGGATTGACGCCACGAAGGTTTTGACAGGGCCATCAAGACCCTTGAGGACCCTTGAGGACCCTTGAGGACCCTTGCTCATGCAGTGTCAACGTCATAACACATAGAACCTCATGAAAGGCCGTACATTTTAGCCGAGCCATACAATTTGACAGAAGTTGGTAACCGAAATCGTTCATCGAAAGTCCGAAAAGACCAGCAAGGGAGCCACCGAAACCAGCTAGAACAACACGGCAGAATGTGGTGCTACATCCCTCCGACGCAAGCGAAGCAGGTTTGCATATTTCCGTCAAGAATACGAATCCGAGCCTGGGATGTCATTGTGAGAGTCAATATCAAAGCAATCATGCGAAGAGTAATACCCTTCTAATACATATATATATGTCGCCAACCCACAAAGTTTACAAACGAGTGCAACCTACGAACTCTATGAGGGAGTTGAAGTGTACTCCGACAGATAAAGCTTACGTTCGTGCTGTAACTGCCACGCTTCCTGCCGCGATAGCTCCTGCTCAAGGTACTCGGTCCAGCTCTTGGCGATTGGCGTGTCCATGGCGCCTTTCACCCCAGCTACCTGATATACACGCCCCACCATTTCCACTCCCTTGCACCTCCCACTCAACAGGAGGATACGACTCTTTTGGTACCCATCAATAAAAGCGTCGTCGATGAGCAAAGCGACACCGGTCTCGCCGCGAAGACCCGTGGAATACATGTATGCTTGCATCATGAATGGCGAGGGCATGTGGAAGGCGACGCTGTTGAGGATGTTGATAGGGAGGATGTTTGTGCCGGTGTCGCAGAGGAGGTCAGCCTCGGAAAACATGTTGCGCGTGTGGCGAAGGCCTGGCCAGACAAGGCCAAGAATGGCGCGCTCGGGCCATTCCAGCACCCAGCAGCGGAAGTCGTCCGGGAGCTCCTTCGGAAGCTGGCTCAGGTATGTCTCGCGGCTCCAGTAGCAGCGCTGGTCGAGTATTTGCTTGCGAGTCGGAAGGAAGATAGGAGAGTCGATGAGGCGGAGATAGAGCTTCACTAAGCTGCGGCGGTAGGTAGGGATATGTGAGCCTGGGATGACGGACCGCCAGAGCTTGCACACTCCCCGCGCACGGATGAGGGTGGTCAGCGGGAAGTAGCTCACGATGAGCAAGAGGAGTTCGTCGGGCACTTGCATGAGGGATGGTAACGAGTTGTTGAATGGATCCGCTTTATAAGAAGAAGAGAAGACAGCGCTGCTAGAATGGAGGAACATATGTAAGTAGAGCGGCCATGATGAGGTCAGACGACATCGCATGTACTTACCGCGCCTCTACCCCAGTCTCGTCCAATCACCCGTCCGCGGCCAACCGTCCATTTCTCGGTCCATAATCGATCCTTCCGCTTCTCACATTGCTGAGAATGTGTACGACGCAAACGGAGGGTCGAGGAGATCGTCCAGCGCGGTAACCTTCCTGGATTGATTCAGCGTGGATGTAGTAGAACGACGACAGGATATAATTTCTGCGCGTAGGTCGTGGGTCCCGTTATAGGCCTTATGCGAGCTCTGGAATGCAACACTGCAACCCGAGTTGAATGGGCACGATGACGGGGCGGTGGTAAAGGTCTTCGGACCGGAACCGGTTGGTTGGGCGGACGGAAAGATCCGGTTCGGCATCGGACCGATATACGCCACAAAGTCTTCGGCGATCACTGCAAGCGCTTTCCTTCCGAGACCACGACGATCAATTCCTCCGGATAAGTGATTATTTTAACCTACGCCCGATACTTATACAAGGGACATAATTAAATCAGTGGTAGTAGCTCGTTTTTATTTTTTATGCTGCGCTCTTCTCATCCATAGTGGACTGCCCAACGGTTCGTACATCCGACTCCTTTTCAAGCTTCACAGTCTCAGGCACGGCGAGTGCGGCCTTCCGCAACCGGAATCCGCCCTCATATCCAAACCATGTGTAGCGGCTGCAGTGCGGCCCGCGAATCAGCATGACAAGGAGAGTGAACCCTGACCAAGCAACGGAGAGTGCTGCGGCAGGACGCCATCCAAATTTGACAAAGACTTCGGTGCCCACGGATGTACCCATGATCTGACCCGCGAAAACCTTTGAACAGCTGATAAGCTCGCCGTTTGACGTAACATCAGCTGTGGAGAGCCTACCCAAATCAGGATGACTGAGTTCAGGCGGGACCGTGCTTTCGGGTCGATTTCGAACACAGCGGTTGTGAGCGACACCTGCTGTGTCTGTCGGAAGACGTCGATGCCGAAACAGACGATAATGACCGCGGCGATATTGATCCCACCAGCTCCAGTCTGGATCGCCTGGAAGAGAATCAGGGCAAGGTTCGAAATGACGGCTGCCGTCCACGGCACGACGTTATCGACGACGCGCCCGACGAGCGGGGCGGCAAAAACGCCGAACATTCCCACCAGACCGAAAAGGCCAATGACAACCCTGCATTACATTGGTTACCTGCGCTGAGGAGGAAATCACCGACTTACGTAGAGTAGAAATAGGGAGGGCCGCCCAACAGGAAGGTCAGCGTCACCTAACGGAGATCGTAAGTGCGTCTATATTGTAATTTGGCAAATCCCACTTACCCAAAAATTAGTGAAACATGCCATTGCTGCGAAACACACGAGTGAAGCCTGAATCAAGAGGGGCTCCGTGACAGCAAACTTTGCCATGCTGTACAGGATTCCCCAATATGTGACACCCTTGTTGTGAACCGCGGGAAAGTCGGGTAGGAGGAAGTAGAGCAATCCGAAGATGATGCCTTGGACGCCGATGGCGAGGTAGTACACCACTCGCCAAGAGGCGAATTGCGCAACTAGACCAGAGATAACACGTGCGATAAGGATACCGAGGAGCAGTCCCGAGACGACAATAGATATCGCCGTCGCTCGACGTTGTGGCGGCGCTAGATCGGCGGCAAGGGGAATGAGGATCTGGGGGACGCAGGTAGCGACTCCGATGAAAAACGAAATGATTTGAAATACGACAAAACTTTCGGTGAAGGCGACACCGAAGGTAAGAGCGCAGCCGATGAAGGTTAACATGAGGATAAGTGGGCGACGCCGGATGAGATCCCCCAGAGGCGCGATGAACAGTAGACCGACACCATACCTGGAGGAATATGGTAAGCACGATTTGGCATATAACGCGTGCGGAGAGTACGCACCCAGCCTGCAATAAAGTAGGAATATGTGATACTCTGTCGTATGACACACCGAACGCAATTGATAGCTCGACTAATGATGCACGTCATGAATATTCAATGTAAAGCACAAAATGAGCATTACAGAATACTCACTCAAAATCGGTTGGCACCAATAGATATTTGCAACAACTAGGGGACAAATGTGCGTCAGATTGCCCCAAGCGCCAGGGAAGCACCGTATGACTACGTACTGAAAGTGGTCGCGACAGCAAACAAACAGTTAAGGGAGAGACTAAAGCGAACCGGCTTCTCAGGGTTGTGACGAAGGTACCTCGGAACTGGAAAGAAGAGAAAGTCCCGCGATATGGGCTCCGCAGCTGCCTTGGTCGAAGCCGGCGTTGGTAGGGTGTCGCACGTCGATAGCGTGTCCTGCACCACGCTTGGGGCGTCGGTCCGGGTCTTCTCGTCAGCCATGGCGGCCAGGATTGCAGCTCGAGGGGCGACTACAGCTGGTCAGGGTGTCCGTGGGACGAACTGGCGAGCAGAGCAGGCGGCAGGTGGTCCACACAACACTTTCTCCCGCATGGCTGACTGGTATATATATGTTGCAGTGTCAACGCAGCAAGTCCCCCAGATGACTCCCCGATTTTCCCGCCGCCGCTGGGTTACACTCGCACGCTCGGAGCATGTTATGCGTGCTTCCTTCGCAACGACGCAAGGCGAAGGAGATGGAGTTTGCTGTTTACGGCAGAGAGCCGCTGATGCGCAATTTTGGATACGGGCTTATCACATGAATTGGTCCTGATCCCACGCGGGCATCGCCGTGGAGGTCTGCAATATTGACACAATCATTATGAGCGCTTATGTAATCTCCCAAGAAGCAGGTTCCGTTGGGACCAAAATTGAGTACTTGCCACGGAGGCATTATTGCAGCCCGCATCGATCACACCGTTTAACTTTGCTATACAAACGGTTCGCGTGCATTCTACGCGGGAGATATCGTTCCCAATGGTTTACCCACGGACCGAATCGCAGTTCACCTGGCTCACCTCGATCTAGACCGAAGGGGACCCGAAATTCCCGCATCAAGGGTCGTGCGCACAGGCAGGAGGTGACCCCCGTCGTTGTTTATTTTGGTAGCTGCAGATGGCTGCCATCGTTTCAAGTCCTGTATACCTCACTCGCCGAGCATGGTGGCGTCTCTGCTGAGCTGACATCCCCCTGGGCCGCATGCCTGGCGGTAGATACCCATAAAAGGCAGGCGTTGGATTTCCTGCCGCCTCGGCTTCTGCCACACGTCGATGAAACACCCAGTGCGCCTGCTGGTCTCGCTCTGCTTACACATCTCAAACTTGAAAATCGGATATTATGGCATGGGCTTTATAAAAGCGACCTCGGCGCCCCGTGCGGAATGCGAACCTCTTCATTACCGCGGTCGCTGCCACCATGGTGTCGAATCACGACCCTAATGAGAAGCATGGTGGCGAGGTAAAATCTCAGTACGACGCTGGGCGCGCCAAGGCCGTACCTGATGGTGCCCAAAGCGACGATTTGGAAAAGCGTTCATCAAATCCCGCAGACCCCGTGTCGGAACCTCCACTGGAGACGTTGGACTTCAACTTTCTCCCCATCCCTAAGCACCTGCAATACTATGCGTCACACCCACCGACATTCAATTTGACCCTGAATGTCCTCTTCGGGGTCGGTGGCACATTTGGTGAGCCCGATATCCCTCGCTTGTATCAGTCGTTCGGGCTAACCCCGCGGGTACGCCAGCCGTGGCGAACCTATATTACTCTCAGCCGCTCCTCAGTACGCCGTCCTATCCACTACCCCTGGCGGTTTACTCACCTCGAGTTTCAGTCCAGCTGTCGCAGTCCTTCAACGTTTCATACGATGAAGTGTCGCGCATCCCAACCATGACTCAGGCGGGGTGCGTCCCTGATGTCATCGTACATGCTTCGCTCACTCACAGCACGCATGATAGGTACGCCGTGGGCTTGCTTCTGATCACACCTCTAGGCGACCTGGTCCGTCGGCGTCCACTCATCCTGCTGTTGAACGTGCTGGCGACTGCGCTTACCGTCGGGCTGCCCATCACATCCTCCGTCCGCGTCTTCGAGGCCCTCAGCTTCCTGGTCGGCTTCGCCACCGTCGTCCCGCAGATCCTGATGCCGTTCGCCGTAGACCTCGCGCCGCCGGAAAAACGCGCCTCGGCGCTCGCGATCGTCCTGTCCGGCCTGCTCCTCGGCGTGATGTTCGCGCGCCTCGTCGCCGGCGTCGTCGCGAACTTCGTCACCTGGCGCGTCGTGTTCTGGCTCGCGGTCGGCCTGCAGGCGCTCGTGTCCGTACTCTTCTACTTCATGCTGCCCGACTTCCCCGCGAAAGACACGGGGCTGACGTACGCCGGGATACTGCTCACCATGGCCAAGTTCGCAGTCACCGAGCCGGTCCTCATCCAGGCTGTGCTCATTAACGTCGCCGGCGCGGCCTGCTTCACAAACTTTTGGGTATGCAGGTCCATTGCTGGATCGGTTTCGCACACCAGACGTATGAATGAGCTGATCGCGTGCCAGGTGACATTGACGTTCCTTCTTGGAGGGCCCATCTACAATTATTCGACGTATGATTCCGCGCTTCCATCATCAGGCACCGGGCTGACCTGAAAACAGTGTCGTAATTGGCCTCTTTGGGCTGGTCGGCATAGGCGGCATCTCGCTATCGCCGTTCATTGGCAGGCTTGTCGACGGGATGGTGCCCTGGTATGCGACGCTGATCGCTTCCAGCTCCTGCCTCTTATTCTTCGTGATCCAAACGGGCGCGGCGGGACTCAGCGTTGCGGCCGTTATCGTCGTCTGCTTCGGCATGGATGTCTTTCGACAGCTCCAGCAGGTCTCTATCTCGTCCAGAGTGCTCGGGTTGGACTCCCTCGCACGAGCAAGAATGAATTCCGTGCTGATGATATCTGTGAGCGTCGACGCATTCGAGAAATTGAGGTTTGCTCACCAGGGGTACGCTAGATATTCCTCGGTCAGATACTCGGCACCTCGGTAGGAACCTCGGTGTACAACCATCACGGATGGCGTGCTGCTGCGGCTCTCTCCGTTGGCTGGCAAGGCTTTTGTGTGCTGGTTCTGCTCTTGCGCGGACCTCACTGTCCGAGGTACACCTGGGTCGGGTACAAGGGCGGCATCGCCGTGCGGAAGACTCGCACCAACCCGCAGGTGCCAGCCGTCGAGCAGGTGCCACCAGAGTGCGGAGATGAAAAGCAAGCAGATGATGAAAAGGTCGAGCGAGCGCAAAATATGAAAAGCGGGCCGCGGATGGTAGTGGAGGCAGTCGGTTCCGAGAAAGACGAGCCTGAGGACTAGGTGCGGAGTATACTGTCAAGCGCCGGTCATTAAGCTCTGTTGATTACGTATTCCTTAGAGATTGAGCACCTTGCTCATATACGCTATGTCCGCAGGCTGTCATTTCTCGTCTGTGAGCATAGCAGCCCGCTCGCCTTCCGAAAACTTGATGCAGCGCGCTTTCGGTGAGTTCTATATGGGCATATCAAGGAAAGATGCGGTCTAAACCCATGACCATTCATGACCGCACAGTCAATAAGGCTGCAGAGAGTTGAGCACAGTTCGAACTAAGCCCAAGCTGCTAGCGTCAAAGCCCGTAGTGGTGGTCAGAAAAAGCGCAAGCATTCGTGGCGGTGAGACATGCCAAACGAGGAAGGCGTCGGGATGATGCGCCGGGTGCAAAAAACGATGATGCGCTTAAATGCTAACTCCAAGCGCTGGACGCTCGATTTGGAACTCTCGAGAATTTGCCGTCGCATGTGCCGTTTGTCTGCCGTGCATTTACCGTGCGAGGATGTTGTCTCTCATGACCCGGAATTCCTGCTCCCAGGCTCCCTCGGAGCAGCATTACTCAGCCAAAAGCGTTCCGCACTGGAGCCCCATACGGTATTTAAGCAGAACGTGCATAACTGCGTTTGGTCGAGGCTCCCATCTCCCTCCGGCGACGACGTCCTCGGCAACGACATACCCAGCACGATGACGACTGACACGAAACGCGACGAAAAGCATGACGCACGGCCTGAGGCTGACGTCGAGCGCGGAGAGCTAAGCGACACTGCCACAATCGAGGCGCCCGAGTCCGAGGAGCATGTGCACAAGCGCGACTTTGGTATTCTGCCGATACCGAAGTACCTGTGGGTCACGAAGGAAAAGCCGCCAAAGTTCGACATCTTCCTCAATATACTCTTTGGCCTCGGCAGCACATTCAGTAAGTGCCCGCTTCTCGGTCGATGATGCACGTGGGAAGCTGCCACCGGTGAACTCATGCACTGACCGTTACCCTTCGTACAGTCGTCTCAAACCTATACTATTGTCAACCACTTCTTAGTAGGCTCCTTTCGTGTCGTGTTTGGAACCCATCTGACCATTTGCCTAGTCCAATTATCGCTGTCATTCAACGTCTCTTATAATCAAGTCTCTCGAGTTCCCACGCTTGTGCAGGCTGGGTATGCAACTGTTGACCAATAGCACATCATGCCGACTAATGTGTAACGTTGTGCTCAGCTACGCATGTGGTCTGCTCCTCATTTCTCCCCTGGGTGATCTTGTCCGGCGACGAGCACTCATCCTCGTGCTCATCGCAGCCTCCACCGCCTTGACGATCGGCCTGCCGCTCACGAATTCCCTCCAGGCGTTCGAGGCCCTCAGCTTCCTCATCGGATTCAGCTCCGTCGTGCCGCAGATCCTGATGCCCTTCGCCGCGGACCTGGCGCCGCCGCATAAGCGCGCGGCCGCGCTGTCGATTGTGCTCTCGGGCCTGCTGCTCGGCATCCTCTTCGCGCGTGTCGTCGCCGGTGTCGTCGCGAACTTTGTGACGTGGCGCATCGTGTACTGGCTCTCGGTGGGTCTGCAGTCGTGCGTGCTCCTGCTCATGTACTTCAAGCTGCCCGACTTCCCCCCGAAGAACGAGCACATGTCTTACTTCAGCATCCTGTACACGATGGCGAAGTTCGCCGTCACCGAGCCGCTGCTCATCCAGTCGTCGCTCATCAACATCGCGTCCATGGCGTGCTTCACCAACTTCTGGGTCACGCTCACGTTCTTGCTCGGCGGACCAATCTACAACTACAGCACGTAAGTCAACCTTGGCGGTCTCTTGCGCTCGCACGCTGACGTTTTCCGCAGCCTGGTCATCGGCCTCTTCGGTCTCGTGGGCATGGGCGGCGTCTCGACGTCGCCGATCCTGGGGCGGCTCGTCGACAAGATGGTGCCGTGGTATGGCACGCTGATCGCGACGTTCGGCCAGACGATCTTCTACGCGATCCAGACGGCGGCCGCGGGCCTGAACGTCTCCGTCGTCATCATCGTCTGCTTCGGCATCGACTCCTTCCGGCAGTTCCAGCAGGTGTCGCTCACGACCAGCGTCTTCGGCCTCGACCCCTCGACGCGCGCGCGCATGAACGCGGTGCTCATCATGTCGGTGCGTGTTTGCGGAGCATCTTCGGCTGTCCTCGTTCCTGACAGCGTGGGCAGATCTTCATCGGGCAAATCATAGGGACCGCGGCGGGCACTTCGTTGTTCACCCACCACGGCTGGCGTGCGGCAGCGGCGCTGAGCCTCGGATGCGAAAGCTTCTGCCTGTTTGTTCTCTTCGTTCGTGGGCCGCACTGCACAAGATATACGTGGTTTGGCTGGGAAGGCGGCTCCGCATGGCGCAAAAAGCCAGTCAGGCAGCCACAAGAGGAGAAAGAGGTTGAGGCAGAAGCCGATACCAAGGAGAAAGCACCCCAGCAGCAGGAAGTGTCCGAAAAGATGGCTCGTGAGCAGTTGAGGACGAGCACAGAAAAGCCTTCAAAGGTGGACGAGTCATGACCTCACTTATACATAGATATTGTAGACTGGCTGCACCTTAGAGTGTCGCCTATACTATCCATATTCATTTCTGTACAGTTGTCACTTTATGCCAATGCAGCCGCGTGTCGGCCAGGGACCAGGATCAGAAACATAGCTGTGAGCATGCTGGTTTCCTGTGTCTCGGAGACTTGCTCGCGCAGACGAGCTGTCGCAAGATCGCACCATACGTGCGTCGGATAATCACCTGCCTCATGCAGACGCAGATCCGCAACGAGCGACGAGCGGACAATGACGCGAGTAATCGTATGCCTCACGATGACACACGAGCACACATAACCCGGTCAGGCGAGGACCGTTGTGGTACTCTGTTGGTTGCGAGTCAGTGGTAGGCACGCGGTGGTTCCTGAATCCTGACGCGCATGGGACCGACTGACGCCCACAAGCTTAACCGTGACTCGAGTTTGCAGACCGGAAGACAAACGATGGTCCCAGTTTCCTGGTCCATGTTGTGATCGTCTCCGCTCACCGGATGTACCTGACTTTGGGCGACCTGCGTCGCAAGTCCCGGTTCCGACGGGGCGCGCAGCGTGGTGGCACTTTGAACACGCCCCGCACTTCTGCTCGCGATCACGGGCCACTCGAGCGGCTCTTCCCTAGACAGACCTTCTTCAGCTGTTATTGGCAAGTGGAGATACTACGCTAAATTCCGTTGCCAGTTGACGATGAGCTCTGAGACGAAGCAACCCCATATCACGCCCCGAACTTATCCTTGCGATCGCACCCACCGCCGCGCCATATTATCGATGATGAATCCGTTTGTCAGCTGTGAATCAATTCCCCCGATCACAAGTCCCAACAAATCATCGCTGTCCAGCACAAACAAACTGCTCGAGTCCCCACACGAGACGAAGAGTATATCGAATGCTGCCTCAGAGTGAGTAAGTTCACTGGTATAGCCGAGCCAACAGGAGAGCCACTACAGAACAGGAACTAAGAAAGCAAGAACGTATTAGTGAAACAAACAGCACAAGCACAGGTACACAAACTGCTACAGATGAAGAACAGGGGAACCATCGATCTACAAGTCAAGCCAATCTATGGCACATCAAAAGGCAATAGCAAGGCAGAGAAAACTCGAGCAATCAAAGTACTAGTAGTGTCGTTCACGCCAGTCAGCGTTTGTGCTGGTCCCCCGGCTTCGTATGGTGTGGCACAGAATGCAGCGTGGGCACCGTCCGGTGCGCATTCTCCTTCCCGCCCGCCGACGACGGCACCGGCACCGCGATCTTGGGTACATCGTCTGCCCCGACGGCCTCGTCCACCGGCTTCATCGCGTCCTCCTCCTGCTCGTCCGCCCTGGTCCGCAACGGCGCCTCGATCGCCTTGCCCTTGTTCGCCTGCGCCGCCACCGCCGCCCGCCGCTTTCGGTCCTCATCCTCCGCCCGCCGGATCACGTCGATCTCGCCCTGCACGACGGTGCCGTCCAGCCAGGCGTGGTGGGTGAGCTCGCTCGCCTTCGCGCGCTTCTCGGGTATGAGCCGCAGCATCGGGTTCAGGAACGACGCGATCATGTCCGCCTCCTCCTTCGGCAGCAGGTACTTGTCGTGCAGCACGTCCCCGAGCGGCCAGAAGCGCAGTTTCTGGATGTGCCGAAGCTCGCCTGTAGAGTGTCTGAGACCAACGACAGAGAGGGCGCTAAAAGCGAGAAGCGCACCTTTCCGGCTGAAAAAGTCCGAGCTGTACTTGCCCGAGAACGCGACGCTCTTCGGGAACTCGCCCATGAGCTCCATGATCTGTGCTATGTGATCATCGTCCTTGCTATACCGCGATCCAGATGCAGGGTCGAAAAGATAGTCTCCGCCAGTCAGGAGCTCGAATATCTGCGCCACATCAGCCAAGCCTCCGCGCAGTCCGAGGACGAACGTACTATGCAGGCAACGCTCCAGATATCTGCACTCGTCCCCCACCTCGCGCCGAGAATAACTTCAGGACAGCGATACTGCCGCGTCTGGATGTCGTCCGTGAAGTGATGCTCGACCCACGTCGCTATAAGCGAAGGGCCAAGTCAGCCTCGCACGCTCCACAGCCGGGCGAAGTCACGAGTGCACGCAACTAAAAAAAAAAAAGCATCACGCACCGTTGCCCAGATCAGCGATCTTGACCGTGATCTTCTCCGTCCCGTCCAAAAGCGGCAGCTGCTGGTCGACGGACATCGCAGACGACGATATCGGCGGCGCCGGGCCGTTCGTGGTACCCTCATCCTCGAGCGCGCCCTCCATGTACGGCGGCGGGTTGGGCTCTGGCGGCTCTGGCTGCTTTTGCGTTGGGGCCTGCTGCGAGAGGAGCGACAGCCCCGAGGGCTTGCCCCTGCCCGAGGCCTGCTTCTCGCCAAAGGGTGAGCCCTCGAGCTTCACGTTCGATATCCGCTCCGCAGCCTGCTCCATCGAGTCCGAGCGCGGGCCCGCGTCGTCCTTGCTCCCGCTGCTGCTGCCCTTCTTCTTGATCTCGAGCGCGCCGTCCCCGAGTGAGCCCGGCTTGCTCGCAGCCTCGCCCTCGATCTTGCTCATCCCGAACGCCCACCGGTCGAGGTGCGAGGACGAGCCGTACGACGAACTTGGCGACGGCAGCGGCTGTGACCCCGTGATGAAGACGGACTCGGATCTTGGCGTCTGGTTGCCCCCGCGCCCCTTGGACGGCGGGACTCCGACGAGGCGTGTCGGCGGCGCGGTCGCGGATGCGGACTGGGCGGCGAGCTCGGCTGAGATGATCTCTTCGACGTTCTCGATGCATATGAGCACGTTCTCCGGCTTGAGGTCTGGCGGCAAAGCGCGGGGCGCAACAGATCAGTTGCGGCCGCAGCAAGCATGGTGGTCAGGAATGGGCGACTGACCGGTGTGAATGACGCCGCAACAGCGGTGCATGTAGTCGAGCCCGAGGAGAATCTGCTTCGCGATCTGCTTGACGAGGTGCATGGGAACGCCCTTGTTTTGGTGCCGCTTGATGAGGCCGAGAAGGTTCTCTCCCAGAACTTCGAAAACCATGCAGACATGGGTGCCATTCGGCCCCTTGTGTCGGAAGTGGTCGAGGAACGAAATGACATGCGATTTGCCCGAGTGGGTCTGCGCAGGCGAGAGGGGCGGATTTGGGTTGTCGGGGGTCGGCTGGATTGGAGGTGTGGAGGATGTAATGAGTCTTTGGAGTAGTTTGATCTCGTCCAACGCGGTCTCTGTATAGCGAGGTGCTGATTTTACAATCTTGAGCGCGACATGGCGGTTCATTCTGGGTGGGTGCAGCGGTAGGCAGGGTGGGGAAATCGGGACATATTAGAGGGATATTTCGGAAGGACGGGTAGATGCAATATACGAGAACGAAACGCTCACTTTGTATCCTTCGCTAACCAGACCGTCGAGAAGTGCCCCCAGCCGAGTTTCCTGACTACAACATATCGCCCATCCGAGAAGGTGTCGCCGATGTGTACTGGGTGATAGCCACCTTTGACGTAGTCCTCCCAATCCTCCTCGTCTTCTGTCATGACTGAGTGGGAACGAGATGAGTCGTAAGAGCCAGCGTGTGACATATTGCTTTTGCGTCTATGCCCGCCAAATTGTGCCGGTGTGTGATGCACCAGATAAGCCTCGGAAACTGGTAGATAAGAGCCAAAACCCACCCTGTTTCCACCACTTTTCGGTTAGATTTTCCCCAGTGTTTGTCCACAGACTTGGACGCGTCTTCTGGCCTTGTTCTGCGACGGGTATATTGAGGATGCGGCCCACGACTGGGCAGAGAGGGTATGTTTCCTGGCGATGTCCAAGAATGGCAGGTGCTCGTTGGAGGGGCTGAGCGCTTACGCTACTGTGGCCCGCAGCGTGCCTGTGATTTTAAGCACTTTCTGGCACACAATTCGCTCACAAAGCTGTGCAAGTGCAGACGGCTGTGGAGAGGATAGTGGCCTAAACGTAGAATGACTTTCAGGCCGATCTGACTGTGCATAGTTCAACGTCATCATCGAGCGAGGTGTGGCGGGTAGCTATCTTCTAGTCTCTGCTCGGTTATATACATCCCTCGGCTCGTCATCTTCCGTCAATCCTGACTGCAGACAAGCACACGATACACCCATTCTTCATACGCTCGACATACGTATTGTGCTAATTGAATCAACTCTATTGGGTCGTCCCAGATCGATCCACGAAGCTAAACGGTTACTGTTGATTGGCTACGCCATACGAGAGTCCGGTCTTTCCGGCCCTTTCCGTGAGACTCGTCGTATGGTCTGTCGTAATATAATCTGCTGAAGAAATTCATTCAAGACAGCAACGTCTACTGTATCTTGGAGCTCGAGTACATCTTGAGACGCGATCTGAATAGAACAACTTGGTTTGGTTTCAAGGCGCAAGTAGATCTCGGTCTCTTCAAGCGGAGAGAATTCTGAAGCTTATTGCTGTCAACAGAGCGGCGTGTGACGGTTAATCTTCTGTTATAACAGTGGAAGCTGCAGCGCTAGCGGTGCAAAATGAATTTTGAGCGAGTCAGTCAGACGAGGGAAAGCCAGTTGAAGAGTCTAAGGCCTAGCCGGAGGTAAGCTTCGCTACTAGTGTAATCATCTATCGCTGCATGTACAGAAAGTTCGCACACAAAATTGGGATATCATCGTCGATCGACCTGAACCAACGCGGGTGCTCGGACGCAGTGCTTAACCCTCCCAAGATCATAAGTACCGGCCCTAAACTGATGGCGCCATCAGCTCACTGCCGCGTCGCTGTTGAACTCGCCCCCCCCCTCATCCTCTGCTTACGATGACGAGCAACCTTTTTGGCGATATGGTACAGGTATAGTAAGTAGTTTGAAGCTGAGCTGACCCTCCGCCACTGACTATCTCATGATAGATGCTCTGACCTGGCGTACTGAGGTCATGTGGCTCTTCATCGTCGCTGCGACACGACAGCAGCGGATCGTGAGAGGTTGTGCAGCACTGATGCAGGGACAGAGGAAAAGTGACAGACGCCGGGTGAGTGGTTGTGTGTGAGGGGCGGATAAGAATGGTGGGGACCGCAGCGGGAATGTCAGGTCATTGGGCAGGTTGGCAAGTACGACGGTCCGCGACTCGTACGTCATGCACTGCTGCTCATGCAGCACGCGGACGGGCTCGCCCTGTGCTGCCCAAACGACGGGAATGATGGCTTGTCCCTCTGCGGGTGGGTGAACAGTGGAAGAGAGCGCGGCAGCCCATTGTTGGGCAACAAGCATAAACAGTAGCGGACGGCGCGGCGACGTGTCGTCAAGTGGTAAGTTGGCCTGCGAGCAGCGAGGACAGGTCCGAATGGCAAGAGCGTAAGCGGCGGGCACGGCTCTCGCAAGTTGTCATGCCGCAAGGGCCGTGTGTCATAGTCAGCGCAATATCCACTGTATCATAGGCTCTTGATATACTGTTTAATACTTTGATATCATCTGTAGGGTGAAACTGTGATTGCCGTTTGATCCTACTATACGCGGCGCATTACTCGGGTTAACTATGCTACCAGTATGCCATGGAGTGCCCCGAGAGCAACTGGGTGCTTGCCTCCACCCAGGGCAAGGGTGCGTTGGTGGCAGGATCGGGGTGGAGACTCGCACCGCGACCGGCTTGTTATCCCTCCTCACTATTAATCCCAAGGCTCACCTGGTACAATGAGGATCAAGATCCACCAGACCTGGATGACGAAGACGTCGAAGAGACAGCGAAAGGGCAGAGAGCTTTATTGGTGCGTCGATGAGTCTTATCATCACAGTGATAAGTAGTGCACACAGGTTTTTTCCTTCTTGTACGTTTCGCGCCTCAGGTCTCAGGCCCGAAGAAAACAAATGTTGGTTATAACAGGTAGGAACGTGAAAAGCGGTGGCACCGCGCGCAACACCGTGACTGCCGCTCTCGAGAGCGGCGAGAGCGTCGGCCAGACTGGACGATGGTATTGGACGGAATTCAGCACGATCCCGTCTGAAACGTTGCTTCAGGACCCGAAACCGTACCTTTTCAGGCTGTCCTTCGACGTCTGAACGTCGAACCGCCATCAAAGTCAGTCTAAATCTGAACCAGACCTTTGAAAACCCTGGTGTGCGACATTTTGAATCGTAACGGCCGCAATCGTAATGAGACCCTCCCCGCCTCGCGAAACTCTGTGCATGATGAAGCACCCAAGGACCGTCATGGCGCGCAGCTGCAGGTGCTTGCTGCACAGGCCTCCGACGTCTATAAGCTCGCCCGACCGCCATAGCCAAACCACAGATTCTTCGCCTCACTTGACTCGATAGCCTCACAGCTCTTTCTAGCCTACGTCGTTCATACTGCCATGTTCTTCATCACCTCCTTTATCTTGGCTCTCGCTGCCACCACTGCTGTCTCGATGCCGGCCCCCAAGGAACGTCGCGATGTCCGCATGGCCCGTCGTTCCGCCGGCGGCGCGCCAATTATCGGCAACACCACGGCCGGCGCCCAGTTAAATGCGTCTACGGTAAGTCTCCTCTTATGTCTGTGTGTATGTCTGTGTGTTGCATGTGCCGACAGACTTGATTCCACATAGGTGCCTTTCACGAGCGTCACGGGGTCGTTCGCGATTCCGACGTTTGCTGTGCCTGCGGGCGACGACCCGAGTGACCTCTACATCGCATCCCTCTTAGTTGACCTTGGTTCCGTCTTCTGCGAGAACGGCATCATAGCTGGTATTGAAATGGGGGTTGATAATGGTTCACAGTTTATCGATGGTCAGTCCGCACTCCTTGCCCTCCTGCTCGCATGCTGACAAATCATCTATATTCTCGCAGCCGTTTGGACGAGTTTCCCTAATGCTAGCACTAACCTCTTTCCCAGCGTTAGCTTCGCGCAGGGCGACAACATAACGGTTTCCATCGCCATGACGAATGCGACGTCGAGCACGGCGGTCATAACCAACGAGAGCACAGACGAGACCTCCACCGTGGCCATTGAGACCGGCCCTATTTGCTCGCAGGCGGAAGTAGCATGGATGATAGGGTCCCAAATCGACGATTCCGGTGACATCATCCCTTTCGTCGACTTTGGCACGGTCAACATCACTGCATCTGCCGAGACCTCGTCAGGCCCTGTCGACATCTCTAACGCGACCATTGTGACCACCGTCCAGAACGGCACTACTATTGCTTCCGCCTCGGTCGAGGGCGATATCGTCACTATTGCCTTCGTCTAATGTGGAACAAGGGATGTAGGTTTTGTGGGTCTCGGGAAGTGGAAAGGAGATGGTATAGGATTAATTTGGACATCTCGGATGCTAGAAGGACAGATATTTAATTTAAATTACTTGTATGACTTGATTATATACCCTACCGGTGTTTATTCAACACTACTTGTATCGTTGTATCGGTCCAAGAAACTGCATTGTTACTTAGCGAGTACTAGTGGGCACAGTTTGCACTGCGACGCCGCCACCATCACATCGGAAAAAAAGGCATGCATCATCAGCGGGACGGCTGGCTGCGAGTCTGGCTAGATGTTTCGCGGTCTTGCGACCGGCGGCAACAATAGGGCGACAACTCCCCCATGCCTTGTGCAACTTATCTGGGACTTATTCTTCGCCTCGCGGTAGACCTCAATGGTGCTCCGTGGAAGTGGGCTGCGTGGCAGGAGAGGACAGGCCCCAGTACCGCCCGTGGGACGCCGGCAACAACCTGCACCTTGGTCTGACGGTGGAGGACGTGGAGGCGATCAGGCTCTTCTGGGACGCTTACAGAGAGAGGCCCAGAGCGCAGTGTGAGGACTTCTCCTGCCTCAGAACTAATGGCGATGACCACAGTTTTGCCCGCACGAAGCTTTCTGATTGGCTAAATCAACGCATCGTCCACGTCTGAAAACTTCCCAAAGCTATTGACGAGGAGATGGAAGCACAACAAGCAAAGTTTCGTTGGGGCTATTGGCTCCTCAGTGCAGAGGTGCGTAACTTAACCTATGCGTCATCATTGTCAATGCCAAGTTTAGGAACAGAAACCAACGGAGCTAGATTGTTCAATTCCACGACCTAGCTGCGACAATGAGCCGCTCGTTTATATCTTGTTCGGGCCGGATGGCTTGACCAGGAGTACCTCTAGGTTCACCAAGCGGAAACCTCTCCCCGCGGCGCAGCAGTTTGTGCTAGGCACAGTGACATTAGTTTGGCGGCGCCAGCGTAAAGCCTCTCAAAACCAGATCAAAAAAATTAACGGCCTCGTTCAAATCTACCAGCACCATGCGAGGAACAGTAAGTGTCCGCAACGTCTCCACACCGTGACGTATGCTCACAGCGGCATCAGTGGACGACAGCAAAGAAACTTGTTCTCTCAAAGACCTATTGCAATATGTCGAAGATGCATACCGGCTGAAGGCGGCTCTCGATGTTGGGGCATATCTGATGTACGTGCGTGTGGAAGACGGTTTTGAGACGCGCATAGTGCAGCTCGAGAAGCGAATCAGAGCAAAAAGATCTCGCTCGAGCGTGACAGCCACTCAAAAATGTGAGGTACTGCTGCTCATATTGCTGGCCAACAAGTGCTAATTGGTTGTATGACTTCTGTCGTTCGTCATGGACGCTCTCTGCGATGTAACCAAGGTTAACAAGGCCATCCCAGTTAAGGCCGCAATTAAGCAGGCCGTGCACAATTACGACGATGACAGCGGCAACACCATCCGCTTGTATGCCAAGACGCACGTGTTTAGTGCGAGGCGCGTCATCGTGGGGGCGCACAGAGTACTAATGTTCCGTGTTCTACAGCGTACATACCAGCCAGTATTCTCGCTGCAGCAGTTGCAGAGCAGACTCCAGGTCTCGGGCTAATGTATCTTTCTACAGATAGTACCTGTCACAGTAGATTTGATTGTTTATACTGAAGTACTGAGACCTCAGCTTCAGATTAGATGCTGCTGAAAGCCAGTAGAAGAGTAAATATATGGCCATCGTGTCTCTCCAACAGCGTCGCATCACGTGAATCTCGCTGACCCTGATCAGGCCCGGACTCGCATCCACAGAGCTTCGCGCATCGCTTTTAACCCTGATGAGAGTGCAAATTCAGATCGCCATCCCTCACACGACCCGTTCCAGGTCGTGTGGGCATCCATATCAAGCCGACAGTCGCTTTATGGGCATGCGCGGCATCTCTGATGACAGAAGGCGCAGCGCTCCGGGAACAGAATCCCGGCGGCGCGAGGACATGACTATCTTTTCCTGACATCATTCCACACGTGTTTACAAAAGCTTCTTACGAGGGCAGATACTGTCCCTGCCGTATCGCAGGCAATCGTCGCATCCCTTCAAGCGGAATGAAGAATGGATCCGCGCTGTTACTCGGTCTAGACGTCAATGCGTCCTGTGCAATGGGGGCGAGAACCGACTAACCGACGTCGTCCTTATCTTCCCAGCAATAGAAAGCTATCTCTTCTCGCTGCGCGAGATCTTCGTAGTCGTGAGAGCTGCTTCGATGCGGATAACGTTCGGCTGTCCTCGTGAGTATCCACTTCGTCATCGTTTGTTGGAGCCCGCCTGCATCAAGTACATTCGGCACACAACCCTGATTTTCGCGCGTTGCTTCCCGGCCTGTTTCACGGTCAGTTCTTCTGCGCACCATCGCTCGCTAAGCATCCCACCATGCCATCAGATTCATATCACGGGATGCAATGTCTTCTCCTGTGCACAGGATGATCAATTGTGCGGCCGCTGGGGCTTATAAGCTGCGCGCAATGAGTCGCGTCCCTTCATACTGTTCTGCTGTTCTTCTCTGGGTACGTCCTCCATAACAGCCTCTCGCTCCCTAAGGCTCATGAACGCAGACTTAGCGATGATTACCCTCATGGACTTGCCAGACGAGCTCTTGCTCATCATCTTGAGCCATCTCCCGCTCACCTCCCTGATCGCCTCGCGAGGAGTGTGCAAGCTCTGGCGGACTCTCGTCCCAGGTTCGCAAATCCCTACCTACCGCCGTGGTCTGCTGGAGCTGTACCTCCGCGCCATCGACTCGCCAGCCTTCCTCGCGACCCGGAAGGAAATCCTGGGTCGGACACACGCCTTCAACCGCGCCGCCTACATCGACAGTCTTCCGCAGGGCATCCCTGACGACTTCCGGTGCTGGCTCCACGAGTGGCCGGAGCGCGCCGTCATCGGCCTCCTCTGGCCGGGCGTACGCGACGGGCGGCACGCGCACTCGAAGCCAGACCTGTTCTACGACACGGGCCATGCCATACTCTCCATGACCATCTTCAACCGCATCGCATTCCAGTCACCACTCCCGGGCATGATGCAGGCGTTCATGTACTTCAAGGATGTCGAAGGCGAGTCCGGTGCCGCGCTGCTTCTCGACGACGCGTTCGTGGAGGGTCAGCAGCGCAGTCGCGTGCTGCTCCTGAGCGGGACGTGCGAGGGTGCCGAAATGAAGGGGCGCGTGTACAACGTCGACGGCGTGAAGTGCCCTATGGAATCCCCGGTTGCGACGAGCTGGACGCAGTATTTGCAGCAGGAGCTCTCACGCGAGGATCTGTGGCTGAAGAACCAATGAGGTGAGCTAGAAGGGCTTCCTGAGACACATCGCCTCGCTGATGCAAAGAAAAAAAATTGCAGCGTTCTCTTGATTTCACTTCGCTACTGATACCGCATCTGGGAGTCATTCTGAAATTGGCTGCGATGTGATCCCGCTTTGCACTACGCCCACTATTCAGATGTTCTCTCGTCGGCATCAGGATCACAGTTGTCGCTCGGCAAGGTTGTACTTCTATGGATTGAGGCCGCCTGCCATTCCACCTTGTACTCAATCACTTGCTGCTCCACCTCCACACCGCAGATTCGTTGTATTCACTGTCTCGAAATGAGATTCTGTCGACGTCTTCTTCGTGATTCGCGCGCAAATTGCTCGCTAGCCTGACGTTCGAGTCCGACAGACGCTACGCCCGGAACCTCGGGAACCTTAGACTCCACGGTCCCGGACAGTCTTCTGATATTGACAGAAGCTGTATGGTCATGCACACGTCCGATCCCTGTCCTGAAACGCCATCCCATTCAGATATCTCTGCGCGGGTCCGCCAATTTTTTCGGCGTGCCGCAGCAATTCGGGCTTTACAGTATCACGCGCCTTCAACAAGGCAGGCGGCGTTCAAAGTACGCGTGATTACCTTGAAGCCGTTTCTTCCTCGTGCGATGCGTGTATGCCCTCCTCCCATCGCCGGGAATAACGTATTCGCTCTTCGTAAGCTTCTGCTCGGGCTTGACACGGCCGTCACGCCCGAGGCATGGTGACATCATACCAAAATGACATGACCGAGAGGTAACGGTCACGCGTTCTGGGCTCGAGTTCGAGGTCCGATGGCTTTGTGGCGTTTTGTACTGGTGAACTAGTTTGCAGCAATGCTGGCAAATAAATTCCTGAGCCCCCATCCTTCCTTCTGAGGACATGAAAATGATACAATCATTAATAATGTTGTTCAAGTTACATGATCTCAAATATCAACGATGTTCGGACGAGTGGGGCAGGAATGGCTTAGTGTTCCAACGCAGGTGCTCTCAGGACGAGATGAGAACATCTATTGATTCGACGGTAATAGATACTTAGACGCAAACCTTGAGAATACGAGCATCAACAAATAATGCATTTGGCTTGAATCATGTGCGGATGAGGCATCCTCGCTGTCCCAAATATATTAACGCATGATCTTCAAAACCTGGACATAATTGCTGTATAGCTCATCGCGCACGCAAAGTCTTTATCTGCTGAGATGGTAGTGCTTGAGACGCCGTCGAGTCCTGGCACTCTGGACGCGACCTTCCGGCGCTCCTTACTGGACTCATTGGCGGAGCAAACTCTCGTGTGTATATTTCAATCATATTAGGTACAAGCTCTATGACGGTTAATTGTGTGCTAAAGCCTCGCCAGTGGCGATAGTGTGTCCAGTGTGTGGAAGTCTCTGAGAAACAAACATCCTGGCGAAATCACACTTTACTTGATGTCCGATGCAGTCTCCGACCGGCGAAGTCCGGGCGCCCTCGACACTGCACTACACCGTCTCTCGTCCTCACCATATCATCCGTACCCTCAGCACTCGGACATGGAGCTATGGACAAGGCCGCGGTCTGATATATACGCGGCTCGCCTAAACTTGGAGCTGTCCTGGCAGTGGGCCTTTGACAGTGTCTACACCGGCGATTCGGCGGCTTATCGGCCTCGCATATCAAAGAGCGCGTTTGCTGCAGCCAACGTGGATCACTTCCTATTTGTCATGGAGCAGGAAGAGCTGGTTGTCTGCGAGACGCACTACAGAATTACGAAGGTGGCCGCAGAGCGTTTCGCGGAAGACGACTTCGAGAACGCATGGAAAGCTTTATCGGAAAGCAGGCGGCAAGAAATCGTCTTGGAGGGCATCTATAGGCTGATGGACCATCCTGTCATGAAAGAGAGGAGAGAGGAGCCCCGACTCTTCCCTGCAGAACTTGATGTCCCGCGGTGGCGAAGAGTATTCGCGCATGTTAAAGTGCTTACTTCATTCGAACCTCGATGCGCCGCCCACGAAGCCTCTCGAGATACCACATACAGTTATAGATCGCATACATACACCTACGGAAGATCAACTAGCGCATCCCAGGTGTAGCACCGTCTCCCGCGCGTTGAGACTTAGCAGAAAATATTTTCTATTGTTGGTCATCTGGGACATTATGCTGACATTCGTGAGTGCATTCATGAGGTCTACTCGCATCGGTACTCAAATACTTCTTTAGTACGGGATGAGAGAAGCTCGACGGACTGTAAGAACTGCTCGGCCATTGATCATCCCTACTGAAGGCGTCTCAGAGTCTGCCCTCCGTGAAGTCATGAGAGAGCACAACGAGCTGCGCAAGCTTATCCCAAATGCGTGTTCTTATTGCGGCCTGTCTGAGGACAGGATGCCAGCTGGGCGGAAACTCCGAGCCCGCAGCAAGTGCCGCCAGCTTAACAGACGAGTGTTCCACTGCTCAAAGTGCGTGTCCCGATAGTGGCCGCTCGCGCTTGAGCTGACAGCCAGACCTAGGGAATGTCAAACGAAGGACTGGAAGTTTGGCACTCTGAGGCCTCATAAGCTCGTCTGCGGGAAGCCGCTGACCGTGGACACCATATCAGAGGCGAGCCCGACAGAGGCGGCGAAGACTGCGTCGTGGATCCTGGACCCCGATCCTAGCTTTACTCGCTCTCCTGCCCTTCTACATCAGATTTCACTACTCAGCGACCACCCTAGGGCAGATTATGTGGTGGGTGCTATCTACCATCTAGTCTAGGTCGTGCATCGTGACTAGTTCGAACAGAATGTGCGCCCGCATCCTGAAGCAGACAAAGGCATACGCCTCTCCGACGAGAATGTGGGACAGTTAGTTACGAGCCGTGTACTTTACTTCGCCGTGCTGACCCATGAGACTGTTTAGCGGGGAGACTTATGTTTAGGGTCGTGCTCAACCGAGGTCCATTCCCTCTACCCCTCGACCGTACTATCCACTCACGTCGTTGCGTTTGTAGCGCTTAAATTGGAGACCGTGCGGTCAATGCGGTGTACGACGCGCTATGCCCGTTTATGGATACGCACCGCCTGCCTCGCTCTGACTTGTGCCAGCAGCTCGAGCCAGAGTTTGGCCACCGCATCTAGGAGAGCTCGAGCGTGGTAGGCCCTGCTACGGACAATCAAATTGAGGCGTGGACGGAGGAGGAGCTCGAGCGTGCGATGCAAGGACTTGATGTCTAACATAGCGAATCGGATACTTGCAGTTTAATGCGCCGAGCCAACGCATCTAAACTTGGAGGTCTGCGTTTGGGGCAGTGACTATTAGTGAGACTCCCAAATATATTTCAGTCAATTTGACAGCTACTGGAGGAGAACTATATCAAGTGTAGCCTTCATCTCCTTGATAAAAGCCTCTGCCAAGTCGTCGTCCATCGCACCCTTTCCCCACGCAAACGTGATATTCGTCGATCCTTCCGGCGAACCAATCACGTTGACCTTCATCGCAGGCCCCTCCACGACAGCACTCTGCGCAAAATATACCTTCTCCAATCTCCACTTAGCGTCATCCGCCTTCTGGGCCTCGCCCATAGGGAACCTCCCAAGATTAGACTGGACCAAGCCACTGCCTCGCTTCTTGCCCAGCATGTCCGTGAAATAGGTGTCGGCGATCCCAAGGCGCAAAAGAATGCGCAGCATGCCGACAAGTTCCCGCGTTCTCCGCATGCTTCCGTGCAGATCCTCGCCGAGCTTGTGCACAGTGTCCCACGGAAAGGGTTTGTCGTTTTCGATCGGAGCAATGCGGAGGAACTGGTGCGCCAGCGAGACTTGGTCGCACAGCTCGAAGGGGGATACGCCCGTGAAGCGGCGCAGCGAAACGGGCGCTTCGGCAGCGATGGTCTTGAGCTTCTTGGTGAGCTTACGCTCGACTAGGAGCCGAGAAAGCACGCCTGCGACGAGTATATGCAGAAATGGAGTGAGCGTTGTCTTGTGCTCGCGACAGCGCTTCAAAATTTCTGCAGTCTGTCCTGCGGTTATCTCCCAGCACCGTACGGTTATATCGAGCATAGGGGTCTTCGGTACCGGGTTGCCCGTCCATGCTTTCGAGCCAGCTTGCAGCTTCTTCGGGGCGAACAGTGCGTGGAGCATCTGTGCGAAGCTCGAAGGGGAGACCGAGATCTTCGTGTACGCCTCGACGGGGCCCACCATGGAGGAATCCGCAGGGACAGCGACCTTGCTGCCGCAGCCTTCTTCGCCGGCGCTTACGCTATTGAGTGCGGACCACAGCGCAGCGTGCACAGCAGGACCGCTCTGGCCGTCGGCGATGCTATGGTGATATGCGAGCACGAGGACACGGCCATTAACGACCGTTAGGCGCCATAACGGCGCAGTCGTTCCAAGGGCGAACGGACGCTCAAGCTGCGAGCGCAGCAGCTCGTCTTTCGAAGCCGAGTCGTCCTGGAGGAACTCCACCACAACGTCGAGGTCAATTTCGTGCAGGCGTACAAATTTCGGGACGGCTTTGATTGTAGCCCCGGGGAGGACCTGCATGCCCAGCGCACCGTGCTTTTGTATGATGGTATGTAGGGCCGGGTAGAGGGTCTCCTTCGTCAGGCTAGAGCCAGTCGCGGAGACATACTCCCCCAAGACGGTAACACAGGAGTCAAAGCCTATCTGGCTGAGTAGTATGTGGTACCGTTCCATGATACCTACAAAGCAGGATACGGGCTGTTAAATGCCTTGTACAGCTCAAGCGTTTGCGACGGCCTGTACATACCTGCTTTGCGAACGACATCTTGAGCGGAAAACGACATCGCGGCTGTCGACGTTCCAAAGTCTGCTGTGGAATCAGAATATAAGGCACCGCGGATTCTCCAACGTGAGCGCCTATTCCCGGGGCCCGTGTCGCTTCTCGTTGGTTACCTTGAGCCTTCATCAGATGCTCAGGCACTCCTTTACATAAACCTACTCTTTCGCCATCCGTTCCCCGATAGTTTCTATCTGCCGCTGGTAACGGTATTCACGGACACGCCCCGGCGCATTGCCACGAGCGTCTGGCCGTACAGCACCGTGTTGAACGTCGATTAGACTGCACGTCATCGTCAGATCGGTAACGGCGAGAAGGAACAGCGTGCAAAAATACCTAATCGCGTTGAAGCCAGCTCGATCCACTACCGCCCTGTACGTGGTGTCGACGAGCACGCCGGCCACGCTGATGGCGGTGATGACGATTCTGTGGAAGAGCTAAGTAGAGCGATATGACGCTAGCAGAGACAGTAGACGCAACTAGTTCCAGTACGCCTGCGCCGTGCTGGGATTCTGCGTCGCACCGTGGTCAGCGAGGAACTTGGCCGGGAAGTTTCCGCGAAAATGAAACCCCTGCGCCAAGTGCGTGTGCATCAGCGTGCGAGCAGGCACAACTACACTCTTCTTGTTTCGCTTCGTTCTCGGGGCCGACGGCGTTGCCCTCGCTAGCATCCTTGCTGATGCATGACGCGCGAAGTGCTGCCACGGTGAACTGTGCATCGACCTCTTCGAGTGTGGCGAGGGCAACCGCGATCTTGCGTCCATTCACGTGCACAGTGCACCGCATGGCCTCTCACGCCTCCGCCTCCCAGTCCTTGCTGACAAGCCCACTGCTTGAAGACCTCCGTGCGCCAGCTCCTTGTTTAAATCCGTGAACCTTGGAAGAGACGGAGCCGGTGTTTGTGTGGAAAGGCGAGTGAGCATGGCAACCGTGTTTGGCTATCGCGTTTCGAGGTTGTGTCTGCTCATGTGGCTTCGGTGGTGCATCTGTAGAGTCCGGTTATCAAGGCAGTGCGTCGACAAATAGAAGAATGTTTTTTTTGGCAAGGCCAGGGAGAACTCCAGCACTCGAGAGGACTGGGGAACGCGGAATGTATTGCTGGGCTTAGGATTCTCGATTCCGCTCGAAGCGTAGATACTGCACATATAAATAGTAATATAAATCAGCCGAGATACACAAAGAAGATATACAGCGTGCAAGCAGATATGGCGCAATTACACGCAGACGTAGATCGCAAGCGAGAAGTTCGTTCACTCCAGATAGAGGTCACGTTTGCCGCATAGCACCTTGTGTGGTCGAGGCACTCCGCTCTTCCAGTCCGCAACTTGGCACTCCCTACGCGACCGTCGCGACGTCAGCAATACAAATCGCAGCATCGGCAACTAACGTACCTAGAACAATAGTAAATCTTGATGCCGAGGGCGGCACACTTGCTACAGCCCTTCATGCGCTCGCCATTGAGCTGATTCTCGCCCTTTTTGCAATACCAGCACGCGTTAACGAGCTGCGAACGGTCGGAGGTGATGTTCTCCGCACGCCACTTCTTGAAGAAGCCCTTTCCGTATTGCGAATCTAGAAGTGCCTTGAGCTGCTTCTTGTTTTCGGGCGTTATGGTTGCCGTGTTCAGCGTATCGTGCGAGGGCCCTTCGATTCCTTGCTGCTCCAATCAGCTCGAAGGAGCATAGAAGAGTGTACTAGCCACGTACATAAGTCCGGTAGACGTTCCAAAGTGCCATCGACATGAACTGCATTCTGTTGATGCGACACATCCGCGCCGTCGCTTTCGCACCGGGTGCTTCGGCCTCTGCGTCTGACAGGCTGACGATGTGGTCGAATATCGGGTTAGGCACATACACATGCCCCAGGTGCGTTGCATGCGTGAGGTTCGGAAGGTTCGACCAATGAGACAACAGCCGCAGAAGCTCTCGTCCGCCGTCCTTCGCCAGATCCTTGAGTGTCATCTCGGGACAATGGCCGCGAAACTGTTCGTTGGATCCGATGCACGACGCGTGATAAAGCCCCTCGAGAATGATTTCCTCCCGCCTGTTGCTAGACAAGCGCCGCCAGCCATCTTGGAACGATTGCCAATCGTGAGGATTCAAGCATCGCGCCATGTCGATGTCGACATCACAGATGTCCTTGACGCGACTGTCGTCCTCAAGCACGTTCTGCGGCTCGGCACAGAAAGCGAGCGCATCCCTAGATGCAGACGAGATCAGCCTGGGGTACCGGTGCAGTGGCAATCCAGGTTTGAAGTAGGCCTCGAGGTCGGCGGCCCAGGAGGCTTCCCAGGCCTTACGTGCGGTGTGTTTGTCTGGGCGGGGACGAGGTACTGGAAACATAGGCATGGCGTAAGTGAGAGTCCTGGGTCTTGCCTTCCGGTAGCAGGGAGGTCGTGAAGCGTGAAACGAGACGGCAATCCAACGGGATAGTGTGGTCGTGATCAGAATGAAATCAAGACTTACAATCAAGTTAGAACGCGGGGTTACTGCATTTGTTACAAAATGATGGTCCCTTTGCATCGCTTACTTACTGCACTTGATGGCATTCTAACCGACAATGTATCCTGCCTGGGGCATCATCGATGCGTCATCTCTCGACGCCTTTGAATTGCATCTGGAATGTTGTGCAGGCTGACACTCCCCTCTGACCGCGCTGGTGGAAGTTCGTCGACAAGCTGCCCTGGCTTGTCATCGGGCTGCTTGCACCCGACTACTCGCATCAATATTGTGTTGCATGCTGCCAGTTACACACCTCGCAGCAGATTTCTGTTACTGAAGCCGAGCATCTGAAGGCCTGCATTGGGCAACGGACGCGCTCCCACAGCTTTGTCTGCCAAATCGGAGCAGCCGAGCATGTGATATCTGATATGGTCATAAATATACAGTGTGTGACAGGTTGACGGTGTCTGCGTTCATATGCTCCTCTACTCGCACAGTTGCCTGCACCGAATATCCTGGCAGGCAGTGGTGAAGTGTCTCTAGTGGGGATCCACTGAATCAGAGGTGGTACTCGAGACAGTATATCTACAATAGTCAAGCACATGCACATAGGACTGCGGCTGCTGAAGTGAGTACAAGAGCAACCGTGAATTGTGAGTTATGTGCACTGGCTATCCTCAGTTTGTGCTGAGAAAGAAATGATGACTTGTAGGTGTTGTGCATCAGCATATTCAAGCTGCAAGATATGCTCAGTGGGACACTTGCCCCCAAAAGGAGGGAAGAAGTAGCAGAAGCCAATGAGGGAGGTGTTGCTCATGTGCATGGTGGCTACACTGTCTCGAATAGCATCTCTGCTTCAGCAGATCTTTGCTGGAGGCCTGCTGTCATGGCTACTCAGTGCAGGTGACTGTGCAAGTGGAGGAATTTGTGAATACAGATGTATAGACTGTTGTATGCATGCCATTGCAATGCCAGCTCACGTAGCATGAGACCACGGCCCAGGAGGGCGAGTATACTTACAAGGCATACAGAAGTAGGGCAACTTCAGTTGCCATAGAAAAAAGGAGAATACTGAGTTGAGAAGTACTGCAAGCCCCCATTGGTTTCACTCAAATTCTGGTTGTGGAGACCGGTTGTGACCTGCATTGTCATCTGAAGTTCTTGCTTTGTCCAAGCACGCAAGCCGCTACGGACTGCTGGCCGACGGGAGTCCAGATGACACCCTACTAAGTATAGGTACTCTACACCAACGCGCGGCCGGCTCCGTCGTCGCAGTGCGGCTGCGATGCGCGGGG